CTGATCTGCATACCTCAGTACCAATGAGTCAGTCACTGGGTAGAAGAGCACGAAAATCCAGTGATGACCCTGAATCCTTCACCTGACTGGGGCGGCTTCCTTCAACTCCTTTTAATCTGTCTTTATGTATGCAAGTGTATGTCAGTAGGACTGGTACACACACTAATTAGTTCTTTTTATTTCTTTTACTTCCTCATTATTGCTAATGAGGGAAAAAAAAGGATTAAAAAGATAAAGGGCCAAGAAGGAAGGGCAAAAGAGAACTCAAAACCTCCCTTCCAGCCTAAGTGGATCATCAGGTTTAAGAAAGAATTGCCAATCTCCCTGTGTCTCATTTAAGTCAATCTGAGCTCAACTAAGGGTTCCAAAGCAAACTACACCACAGGTCAGAGTTGCCCAGGAGGGGTCTCAACCACGTAAAAGAACCAGAGCGAGATCAATGGCAAAGACACATGCAAGTGGAGGTATCCTAAGCTTTGCTTGGTTTTGTTTTTTAAAAAGAGCATAAATATTTACCAGATGTGGATGAAAAAGCTAGATAAAAGACAGTCCATCAAAAGAACAAACAATCCAATTAAAAAATGGACAAGTGAATTCAATAGATAGTTCTCGAAAAGATGTGCAAATGGCTATAATACATGAGGAAATACTCAACATCCTCAGTCGTAAAGAAAATGAAAATCAAAATGGCATTAAGATTCCATCTCACCCCTGTCAGAATGGCTGTCATGAAGAAAACAAACAACAATAAATGCTGGTGAGGATGCAGGGAAAATGGAACCTTCATACATCTTTGGTGGGGATGTTAATAACTGCAGCCAGTATGGAAGTCAATATGGAGGTTTCAGCAAACTAAAAACAAGACTGCCAAATGATCCTGCTACACCACTCCGGGGCTTATGCTCAAAGGAATGTTAAGTCTGCACACAACAGACACCTGCACATCCATGTGTATAGCAGCACTATTCACAATAGCCAGACTGTGGAATCAGCCTGGATGTCCATCTACTGATGAATGGATCAAGAAAATATGGTATACATACACAATGGAATATTATTCACCCATAAAGAATGGAACTGTGTCCTTTGCAGGGAAATGGATGGAACTGGAGATCACCACATTCAATGGAATAAACTAGACTGAGAAAGACAAATCACATGTTTTCTCTTATATGCAGGCTCTAGACCTTAAAAGAAAGAATGACACAAGTATGAAGTGGGAAGACTATTTGGGTGTGGGAACCAGGAGGAGGGAGGGTAAAAGGACAGTGTGAAGGAGAGGTGAATACAATTAAAGTACTTCATACATGTGTATGAAAATAGAATAATGAAACATATTTTAAATTGTTTTTAAAGAGGGGGTAAGAAATTAATAGGGGGTGAATCTGAGCAAAGTATATTACATTCACGTATGGAAATACTATAATAAAACCCCTTTGTACAATTAATACACACTAATTTTTAAAAAGCTGGTCACCAGTGGCTCATACCTATACTCTTAGCTACTTGGGAGGCAGAGATCAGGAGGATCGTGGTTCAAAGCCAGCCCAGGCAAATAGTTCTTGGGACCTTATCTCAAAAAACCCTTCACAAAAAAGGGCTGGTAGACTGGCTCAAGGTGAAGGCCCTGAGTTCAAACCCCAGTATCACAAAAAAATAAATAAATAAATAAAAAGAAGATAGAGTCCATTAAAGAAGTTTCAGTATCAGGAAAAGTTACTTCAACATTCTTGACAAGCTAGTTGGCTATAGTTTGAGATTACCTGGAAAGTATTAGGTGTTAATGTAACAGGCATTAGCATATCTGCCATTGCAGAGGGAAGAGAGGGAGAGAGAAGAAGGAAGGAGGAAGGAAGGGAGGAAAGGAGAGAAGGCCATTGGAGTGGCAGGGGAGAAACAGTGTTCTCTGATAAGGATGGGTACAGATGCTATGGGCTGTCATGGTGTCCCTCCAAATTCGTTTGTCTAAATCCTAATCCCCAATACCTAAGAAAGTGAGTGTATTTGCAGCAGAGTTTTAAGAAGACAGGTTCTTAAAAGAGGGGACTAAGTTAAAAGGAGGCTATTAGAATGGGCTCTAGTCCAATCTGATGCCACATAGTGAACCACTAAGGGTCTGTGTGCACAGAGAGACCAGGTAAAGAGGCAGCAAGAGAGTTCTGGGAGAAAGTCAATCCTTTTATCTATCTTATTATCTTGGATACAGTATCATTAAGTAAAATTGCCTTTGTAAAACACAATAGTACATGGCACAAAATAAGCACTCATGAAGTGGCAGCAAAAAAAAAAGGTAACAGTGGCAACAGAGCTGAATGTGGTAGTGCATGCCTGTAATCCTAGTAGTTGGGAAGCTGAGGCAGGAGGATCCTGAGTTCAAACCAGCGTGGCCCACAGAGTGACACCCTATCTCAAAATAAAAAAAAAAGACTTGGCAGCTTATATTGCTGCTCTTGCAGTTATTAACAAAGGGCCAAAGAAAACATCCACAAATCCAGTGAGATACGTATCAATATCCACTGAATGAAAACCTCACGACCAGCTTTCTAAATGACCTGATTTCTGCTTCTATGCTCTGCAAGGAGGTACTTGGTTTTCACTGGGTGAAAAGTCCAACAAGGAATAGAGCAGGAGGTGCTCTAGAGGAACTACACCCTCCTCACCTGATGGTGGAGGCTGTTTAGCCAGAGCTCTAGGCTGGAAGCACTCAAACTCAGAATCGCTGGCTCTATTAGTCCAGGGAGGGATTTTCTGCTGTTCCACACCTCTGAGCCAGTAAGTTGGAACCATGCTGGGGTGGGTGAAATCACTTATTTTTTTAAGTGGAGGTTTATTTTATCAATTTGGATTATTTGCATCACTCTGTGATATATTACCCCTCCTGCTCTGAGACCAAAGTCAGGAGTGGCTCGGTTTTATGAGGTTTTTTTTTTAGGGGGGTTGCTTTGGTGCTGGCGATTGCTTACACCCAAGGCCTTGTACTTGCTAAGTATGTACTCTACCACTGAGCCACGCCCTCCGCCCTAAGGCAGGAGTTCTGATTTGGCGGCACAGCAGGTGAAGTCAGCAAGTCACATTCACATTATGGGAGAGCATTATGTCACATCATGACAGCAGCCTGTGACTGGTGATGCCAGCTTGCCTATTAAGACACACAGCACTGCCTGCCCTCCTGGACCTGATGATGACCTAAGGTACTTTGGCCTCCTAGAAGGAAAGTATGAACTGTGGGATGGGATTCTATTAAAATGCAGATTCTAATCAGGAAGGGGGGTGGGGGGGGGGCTGCATTCCTGCATTTTTAACAAGCAGCACCAAGATGATGCCTGTCCTCTGACCTCACTTTGAGTTACACACTTCAGGTAAGTTTGATTTATGAGTACTGAGCACACTGCCTATCTGGGAGTGGTCTGAGGAGCTTTGCTTAGCATCACTTGGGGGCTGATTACAAATGTTCATTCCCTGCTGTCACCTCAGACACTGTCAATCAGACCCACTGAAGATGGGACAAGCAAGCTTCCATTTTTTTTCTTTCTGAGGTACTGGGAATGGAGCCAGGGGCCCACTAGGCAAATGCACTACCACTGAGCTACATCCAGTCCCAGCTGATTAACTGAGCCTGGAACAAAGCAAAGGTTCAGAACCAATGCTTTAGAGGACTACTTTCTGTGATGTAGCATCTGCATCTAGAAAAGTACACCTTTCACAAGCACACTCAGGAATACCTGTGGGGACTGGATGAATACATCCTTCAGAAGGAGCAATGCAGATTGGTGGGGTGGTTCAGGTGGTAGAGCGCCTGCCTAGCAAGCATGAGGCCCTGAGTTCAAACCCCAGTACCACCAAAAAAAAAAAAAAAATTAAGCCAAGTGCTGGTGGCTCACACATATAATCCTAGCTACTCAGGAGGCAGACATCAGGAAAATAGGGGTTCAAAGCAAACCCAGGCAAATAGTTTGTGAGACCCTATCTTGAAAAATTCCTTTACAAAAAAGGGCTGGTAGGGTTGCTCAAGGTGTAGACTCTGAATTCAAACTCCAGCACTGCCACTTAGGGACTGACTGGAGAGGCGGCTCCAGTGGTAGAAGGCCTGCTTTGCAAGCAGGAAGCCCTGAGCCAAACTCTAGTCTCACCAAAAAAAAAATTGATGAAGTAATTGCCACTTGGAATTCGTGTATCTCCCTGGATGTCAGTTTCTTCCTCTGTAAAACACCACTGTTATGCAAAAAGACCTTGTTAATTCTAAAGCGGTATCCAAAAAGGATTATCACTTCAAGACTTAAGCTATAGTCTTCATGGATGAGGGAAATTTGAGTCATGAAAGCAGAAAGCTATAGTAATGATTTTATAAGTGATTTCTTTCCCTGGGCTTCCTATAGTGTGGCCTATTAATCTCTCCTGACTCCCACATGTCTACCCCCTCACCCTTGTAGCTCCCACTTCTGGTTTATTACCTGGGCCCCTGCCACAGTGGGATTCTCCCTGCTAGCCGCGGACACTGGGGAGTTGTGTGACCCGCACTGCCCCATGGGTTTGGGTGGCTGAAGAAGGAAGCTAATCCTAGCCCAAGGAGGCCGTTGGTAAACTATACAGGTTTTGAGGCTCCTGAGCAGATTATTCTAGGCCAGTGTGGCTGAGTCTCCATGAGAGCCCTGTAGAACATCTATACGGAAGCCTTTGTCTAAGGGTGGGGTCCCAGTCCACTTCCTTTCCACCAAACCTCTTAAAGAATTTCAGTAGATTTCTTTGGTCTTGTCCTAATTCTAGTCTAAACCCTTATTGTAGTTCCAAAGTTCCACAAATTCTCCCAACCCACCGAGCTCCACCACACCCAAATAGGACATCAAACCTCAACATTAACATATATAACATATATACTACATATGTGAATTAAAATTGCATGCGCATATGGGCAAAGAATGAGGACTGGCACTGGATAACAAAGGAGCGAATAGATTCTGTTTTGGATATGTGCTGGAACAGTTCTAGAAGAGGCTACTTACCAGCCGGGTGTTTACTACAGGAAACAGCAAAGCCAAAAGAGCTCCATTCAACATGTGCATCTGTAACCTAGAGAGGAAAGAAGACCAAGTTCAGGTCACATTCAGACACCAATGCAAACAAAGAAGAACCTGGGTCTGGTACAGTCGGGCCTTATGGGAGGGGGCTATGTATAGAAGTGGCTATGTAAAATGGCCTTAGAGTTTGCACATATGCAAAGTCAATTAAAAGCAGCATAGTCTGTATTAACTGCAATGTTCCAAAGAGCCCTACTACTGCCTCAGAAGCCCAGGAACACTTTCTGAACACACTGGTTACAACACTGCATTACATAATGAGCTCTGCGCTGCCTAAACATTCAATCAGACCCAAGCAAGAGCTTCAAGGGCATTAGCAAAGGGGGCGAGCAATAGCTCAGTGCTCTGTTGTCACAGCAGAAGTCTGTTTCTCAAAACATGGCTGTCTGTTATTAGCCATGGCAGTCCTTTCCCCAGACAGAGACCCGGACAGAAAACGCCTGCTACAAGCTAAGAAGCCAACTGCAGTGTTTGGCCAGGCGTGTTTCCCCGCTGTCTCAGACAGGCCTGCAGGAACTGCAGGAGGGTCATGCGGCAGCCCTCCAGGCTTTCTTCGATCTGTCTTATATATTGAGCTCTGTAGTTTAAAAGCAAAACAAGGCTGGGGGCATGGCTCAGTGGCAGAGCACTGGCTTAGCATGAGTAAGAGCCTAGGTTTGCTACTCAGCCTTGGGGTGGGGGAAGAAAAAGAAGATGAAGAACATCAGGTAATGATTCTATTTCCCAGTCCCCATACTGAATTGTTAAAATGCACACTAGAAACCTTTCACAAGTCAAGAACCATTAACGCAGGAACAAACCCTGCTTGTAAGGACTCAGGAGACAGATTTAAGGGGCTTCCTTCAACATGCAATGCAAATGGCTCTTTACTAGTGAGGGACACACAAAGAATGACAGCTTGTTCCTCCTGAAGAAAAGCTTATTTGATGGGGTCACAGATACCCAGTGGGTCAATGTACCTCTTAGACATACGACACTGAACACTGCAGATACTAGCTGATGCTCCAGCTGCTGGGGCGCTCTCTCTCTCTGTCTCTCTCTCTCAAGCTGCTGGGGCACTCTCTCTCTCTGTCTCTGTCTCTCTCTCTCTCAAGCTGCTGGGGCTCTCTCTATCACACACACACAAACACACACACACACACACACACACACACACACACACACACACGGAAATCTTCTATGCTTGATGAAGAAGGCAGGTCACATGCCTTCACCAAAGTGTTCGTAAGACTAAAAGATATTACAAGGAGACCCCAGAGAGCCCAGATAAGTGTCATCTTCCCCTGGTTTGTTTCTGATTACTGTTCTTTATCACCAAAGCCTCAAAGATGATAATGATGCCCACTCAATACATTCCAGGCCAGTATCTAATTAACTGCTTTACATGAACTATCTTTTTAAAGAGGTCTACTCCTTTTAGAGCAGACTTCTGAGACAGATATAATGACTTTTCCCATTTTGCTGATGAAAAAACCAGATTCAGAGAAGTGAGGTGGCCTGGTCAATGCCACACATCAGTTAGCAGCCAGGACTCACACTCAGATTTATCTGATTCCACAATCCAAACTCTTAGATCCTTCTTACTGCCTTATATCAGAGCCTCCCTTCCAAATATGACCTCTGATGGCAAGTCAGGAATGCTCTTTTGCTGTTTCTTTTGGTTTCAGGGGACTCTCCATCTCCTCTGGCATTCCCTGTCGCAGGGTTAACATGCTTTCAAAGGGCAACTTTAAGGGGAGAAGGCTCTTTGGCCACACTTGGCCATTATAGTCCCATAAGTTAAAAGTACTTGGCTTTGTCCATAAGGTTACTGCAACTTTTCAAGAGGGTCATTCAAGGGGGCACCCTGTGCTCTAGGAAACCAAGTCCAAGCCTGGGATGAAGTGGAGTCTGACTTAACCCTGCCCTTAGGCATTTCTCAGTGACAGTCACGGTATAAGGGGTCACCCTGGGAGAGGGAAAATCACATGGCTAGCCCAAGTGAAACTGGATGCTGGTGCCAGCCTTTGCCATTGACCTCAAAGGAATTTTGGCATTTGCAAAAGGCCTGTTAGATATTTGGGTACTTAGTTACATCTTGAGGAAGATGGAATTGGTTCCAAGGACCAATGGAAGGCCAAAGATAAAGAAGATAAAACTAACATCAAGATTCAAAGTAAGCCAGGTCCCAGTGGCTCACATCTGTAATCCTAGCTACTTGGGAGGCTGAGATTGGGAGGATTGAGGGTCGAGGCCAGCCTGGGCAAATAGTTCATGAGACCCCATCTCCAAAAGAACCACAGCAAAATGGACTGGAGGTGTGAGTCAAGTAGTAGAGTATCTGCTTTGCAAGTGCAAAGCCCTAACTTCAAATAAATAAATAAATAAATAAAAGATTCAAAACAAATAAGTTCCTAGCGAAAGACATGCCTTGTTCTGGGGTCTCAAAATTCAGTTATGTAAACAATACATATGCCAAATGGTGAATTATTATCTTTAACATATAAAGAGGTCTTACATATTAATAATTACAAAAGTATCTGACATGGAGCTGGACATGTGGCTGGAATGGTACAGCACTTACCTAACATGCACAAAGCCCTGGCTTCAAAGCCCAGTACCACACACACACATAAAGTCTAACATGTATCGAACATTTCTCTGTGTGAATCACTGGGCTAAGTATTAAAACACATCATCTCATTCAGTCCTCACAGCTCTTATTACAATCATCATTATCATCTTCATTTCAAAGCTAAGAAAACCAAAGCTTCAAGTGATTGACTTGCCCAAGATCACAAAGATAATAAGTGGCATAGGCAGAAGTCACATTCAGGCCTCATCAAGTTTCAAGCCTGTGTTTCTGCCACTCTACTTAGCTTCAAATGCATGGCATGACCATTATATGTACTGTGTGTGTGTGTGTGTGTGTGTGTGTGTGTGTGATCAGACTGCAGCCCAGGCAGGAAAGGGTTCTGGGATACCCACGGGGCAGGGAAGGTCATGTCTAAAGACAATGGAACCCCTTGTGAGCTTCATGGTAAAGCTGCCCTGATTCCACAGCAGCAACACCTTCTACATGGACCCAGAGCACAACCAACAGGTAAGCAATCCACCAAATGAGAGGCAAAGGCTTTTGCTTTCACTTTATACTTGCCTCCAGCCTGCCACCTGGATTTCTAAAGATTATGAGAAATGGACATTGGGCCATGAGAAAGTTTCAGGAGAGTTCCTTCATTTGTATGAACCATAATAGCACCCAACTCATATGACTGTGATAGGAGTTAATACTTCTAAAATGATTCGAAAAGAGCATGCTGCTATAGTCCAACTCTTCAGTGCTTGTTAAATGAATGGTGATAAAACTTACCTAACTCTTCAAACTGGATAGAGAGAAAGAAGGAAGGAAGGAGGGAGGGCAGGAAAGAAGAAAAGAAGGAAGAGAAGAAGGGAAGAAGGAAGGAAACAAAAGGAATAAATGAAAGGAACAAGAGAAAGGAATGAAGAAAAGGAAATCATGTGAGAGGGCCCACCTTAAAAAACTAAAAGTATAAGAAAGAGGCCCGAGTCTTGCCTGGTGGTGTGCACCTATAATCCCAGCATTTGGGAGAGTAAGGCACAAGGGAATCAAATGTTTGAGGGGGAAGGAGAAAGGGAAATATAAGGAGAAGGGGGAGAGGAAGGAAAGGGAGGAGAGGGAAGGGGAGGAAAGGGGAGAGAAGAAAAAAGTGGTAGACCACTTGCCTTTCTGACTGGGGAGAGTGTGCCCCTCCACAGAAGGCCAGTCAAACCCACAGCAAGGGCTCAGTCAGGGGCATGCCCTTCAAATACAGACTAAATTGTCTCTCCTTCAGGCCCTTACCCCTAAAGGTAATAATCTTCTACCTTAGTCTTTCCAGGACCAGGTACCAGTCTTTTCCAGGACTAGGAAGTCCCGGCAGGCAGTGCAGAGCATGTGGAAATGATTCCAACTGGCCAGTCCGGAACTTTTCATGCAGCCCTGCCATACCTTTCCCAAGGAAACCCCAAGAAACACAGTGGCCTAAACCTTCCCCCTTGCTCCACCCTTCTGCCTCCTAAAGATCCCATCTTGACGTCTTTCCCATGTGGCCCTACTTAAGAGTGGCAGAACCCTGTGAGTATAACAAACTTGGTTTTCTTCAGCTTCTCTTCTGTTTCTTCTTGTGGCCACATGTGCTTGACCATCAAATACAAGAATACAAACAGCATTACTACTAATATTTCCTGTAAGCCTTTGGTTTTGTATAGGCTACTGTGCTCAGTTAGCTTAGTGGCTAAGAACCTGGTGTTCTACATAGGAAAGACATGAATTCTCACCAAAATGAGTTACAGATACAAAAGAATTCTGATCAAAATCCCAGCAGGATATTTTGTACATACAGCAAAATGGATTCTAAAATGTATACAGAAGGGCAAAGAAGCAGGAGTAGCTAAAATAATTTTGAAGAGAAGATAGATGAAGAAATTGCAGCACCTGATTTTAAGGTTTACTATAAAGCTACAGCAAGCAAAACAATGTGGTACTAGCCAAGCATAGACACATTGATCGATAAAACAGAATACACCAGAATCAGACCCGCACTGATAAAAGTGGGTCACCTCATTTTGACAATAAAGCAAATGGTATTTCAACAATTAGGCACTCATTTATAAAATAATGCACACACATAGTCTAAACCTCACTTCTTACATAAAAGCTAAATAAAAACGTAAAACTAAAACTGTTAGAGAAATAGAAAATGTAAACTATAAAACTTTTAGAAGAAAACACAGGAGAGGCAAGGCAACATGGCTCACTTCTGTAATCCCGGATATTCAGGAGGATCCAGGCAAAAAGTTCACGAGATCCCATCTCACCCAATAAAAGTTGGGTGCAATGGCCTGCACCTGTCATCCCAACTATGTGGAAAACATAAATAGGAGGATCGTGTCCAGGCCAAGCATAAAAGCCAGACCTTATCTCAAAAGTAACCATAGCAAAAAGGGCTGGGAACATGGCCAAACAATGCCTCAAGTACTGCAGAAGGAAGCGGGGTTGGGAGAGAAGAAGAGTTCTTTGACTGACATA